CTTCGCAGCGCACAGGCTTTGAATGAACTTTGGTGACCCCCAACCAGTACTTGCAATATGATGCGCACGAACAGGTTCACTGACCGGTCCCGATGGTGAGCCCGACAAGACGCTTGTATGACTTTCTTTTTTTTTCAGCAAGTGACAGCACAGGACAAAATATAATATTGATTTATTTTCATTCCGGTTTACTGAGACTAGGTGAGACTAGGTACCCGGTTACCGTGTACGTAGATATTGAGCCTAGGTGCCCGGTTACCGTGTACGTAGATACTACGATAAATTTTTAGTTTGCAATCCACCTAAAGTCTAAAGTCTTACAGTATTTAGAGTAGAGGAGGTAGTCAGCGCTGCCCTAAGCATTAAAATAACTTTAAATAAGTGACTTTGCCAGGGACAGGGGACCCTGTGAAGGTGCAGCTGGGTTCAGCTTGTCACTTGTGAGGACAACGTCAGGGTTGTAGGGAAACAGCCCTGACTTGGTGAATCCCGTCATGGCTGTTTTTAGCTGAGCTGCTGTTGTCCAGGCCTTCAATTCAGGACGTCGGCAAACGTCCTCAGTGTCCTGGATTCCGTGGTGTCAGTAACGGACTTCCTTAACCCCTCTTGCCACGCTATCTTGATGGCCCCGAAGAACGCCTGGTCCAGAGGCTGTGTCAGGTGGCTGGTGTGGGCCTTGAGGCAATAAATAATGTTACCCCATTGTCGCACACTAAAAAACAATAGTGCCGAAAAATAGTCTAAAATGGGTCTTTTCACCCTGGCAACTCAATCACCTTTTTTTACCCGACTTCGTGACTGGGACCGCATCACTGCGGTATTACCAGAGGGGCTTGCTCCCCTTATAGTGGAGTGTATCAGCTAGACCCCCTGTTAGTGGGGAGTTTCTGGGGGGCTTGCCCCCCTGGCAAAAATAATAATTTTAAAAAACCCACACAATCTTCACGTTTACATGACAAATTATCAGTTTCAGAATAGCTGCCTATGGAACGCGAAGGGAATTTCCAAAGAGCGCCTAATAATAGGCTAACAATAAAGTAATAATAACAACAATAATTGATAAATTTTAAAAAAATGATAATAATAATAGTAGAAGTCTAATAAAAAGTAAAGATAGCCTTCTAACAATTAGCCTACAATACAAGTTACAATGATATTTGAAAATTTTTTTTTAGATCTAGATAGCATGAACATAGTTAGTATTATGTCGATTATATAATACTAGATATGAAGCTAGCTGGGCCCCCTTTCAATGAAGATGAAAGGAATGATCAGTGCATTAACATCAACTCAAAGTCATTGGCCTACTATATCTACACTCTACTGGAATGGAGCAATAGGTCTTGAGAGATGCAAAAAATCAGAAGGTCTAGATCTATACTTTCAAAACAAAATGCGCCTCGTGAAATAACACTTTCAGCACTTCTGCGATTAAGGACAGCTGAGCAGATTTTTTTTGTTTCTCAGTGGAATAATCACAAAGGCCAAATAAGGACGGGAACTTTTTGTCAAATATATTTTTCTAAAGGAAGTGGTTAGTCTCACCTGGGGTGAAAATAACCTATGTTTCGCTATTCTCACCACCTCGTTTTATCGGAAATGATCCTAGAGGGACCAGAGCTGAGGTTACCGGGGATGATGCTGGACCGGATCGTGCTCGTGTCTGCATAGTCACAGTCAGGGCTGTCAGTGTCTGTTTGGAGCCAAATCCTCGAAATTTGGCTCTTTTGGATCGCGCCTGGCCTGGAGTGTTTCTTTTGGCTCTCTAGCTCTTTTTTGGCCTCAAACCCCAAATGTTAAAGAAGGAGGGGAAAAAGAAGAAAATCTCTATGCTCTATTCAAAAAGGTTTGGCAAAAGGAAATAATACCATCAGACTGGAAGGAAGGCCACCTAATCACGCTGTCAAAGAAGGGAGACTTTAGCAATTGTAACAACAACTGAGACATAACACTCCTGTCCATACCTGGGAAAGTCTTTAACAGGATACTCCTGGAGAGAATCAAGCTGGCAACAGATGAGAAGCTCAGAGGAAACCAGGCAGGGTTCTGCAAGAACGGATCATGTGTGGACCAGATCGCTACCCTGCGCATCATTGTTGAGCAATCGCTTGAATGGAATTCACCTTTCGTGGTCAACTTCATTGATTATGAAAAGGCATTTGACAGTGTGGACAGGGAAACTCTGTGGAAACTCATGCGGCTTTATGGAATACCTGACAAAATCGTCAAGATTGTGAAGAGCACCTATGATGGAAGAAACTGCCTAGTCTTCCTCGAAGGACAACTCTCAGAACCATTCCAGGTACAGACAGAAATGCGACAAGGATGCTCTCACCTTTTGTCTTCATACTAGCAATTGACTGGATCATGAAGGAAGCCACCAGAGGCAAGCGCAATGGAATACAGTGAATCCCTTGGCAGCAGCTGGACAACTTAGACTTTGCCGATGACCTTGCACTGCTCTCTCACACACATGCTCAGATGCAAGAAAAGACCAAGGAACTCAACAGCCTATCAAGGAGTGTTGGCCTACATATACACTCGGGCAAGTCGAAAGTAGTGAAGCTAGGAAAAGTGTCAAGCCCTGCTGTGACAGTGGAAGACACTCCCCTAGAAGAAGTGGACTCCTTTACCTACCTTGGAAGTGTCATCGATGGTAAAGGTGGAACTGAGGCAGATGTAAAAGCAAGAACCGCCAAGGCAAGGTCAGCATTCAAGCAATTATCAAAAGTCTGGAAAGCAAGCAACATCTTATTGCGCACCAAGATTCGACTCTTTAATTCCAATGTCAAGTCTGTGCTCCTCTACGGCTGCGAAACTTGGAAAACAACAAAGACAGTGCTGAATAAAGTCAAGACTTTCATCAACAGATGTATGAGGAGTATCCGAAGAATTAAGTGGCACGATAGAATAAGAAATGAAGAGCTGTGGGAAAGGACAGGACAAAAGGATATAGAAATAGAAATAGGACAAAGAAAGTGGCGTTGGATGGGACACACCTTCAGAAAGCCCAGCGGAAACATCACAAGACAGTCACTGCAATGGTACCCACAGGGAGCTCGAGGCAGGGGTAGGCCATGGGAAACGTGGAGGAGATGTGTGGAAAGGGACATGAGAGAGATGAAGCTCACTTGGAACGAGGATGGCCCAGGACAGAGATAAATGGAAGGAGCTTGTTTGTGGCCTATACCCTGCCAGGGGTGAAAGGCATTGATGATGGAAAGATGAATAAAGAAAAAACAAAAAAGAACGAATAAAAGGGAAAAAAATGAAAATGAAGAAAAACATTTGGTTTGAATGATTAACAACCCTTCTACCGTCGTGCAAGAGCATTAGAATCTAGTTTCGTGCTCGTGTCTTGTTACGTTCGTACACGCTCTGTTCCTTGAACGATAATAAAATTTATTGTGTGCAGGCAGAGAAACCTGCAATCATTAAGTGTGTAAACAACGAATGGTCCGGCCGGTCCCACATCCCGTGCAGTAGCGTCGGTAGTGAGACATAGATGTATTTTTTACTGGAGAGGCGAAAAATGTTTTCACATTATTCTGAGTCGTAATTGTCCATATCCCATATCCCGTCTCTATTCTGTAAGAGCGCTCCTTCATCTCACGGGGGGATGGAACGCTTGAAGCAGGCCGAACTGCATTAAAAAAGATATAGATCTACATTATTGTGGATGTGCGGGAAGGGGGGGGGGATGTGTGAGAATAGCGAGTCATGAGTTATTCTCACCCCTATATATAGGTAAGGTGGCCTTTTCCAAATTCAGGAAATGAATGAATAAAAAATCTGGCTACATCATGGGGACCTATCTATATTTTTGCAGGTACTTGCCAACTTTCAGCTCTGTAGCTGTCGTAGTTTTATGGGAAAAGTGATACATGTGTTTCCAAGTAGCCAAATAAGTAATAGATAAGAATAGGCCTATATATATTAGGATTATAGGTGACTATTATATTATATAATTTATAGTGACTAAATCTAGGGTACTTGCTACATGATAAGGTAGACCTCACTTAGTCTTATTCGTCTTTACTATACAGGCCCATCCAATTAGGCCTATTTGATTAAGAGGGTATTCACTTATAATTTATTGTTATAATAAGTAATATCGAACTGTTAAAATTGTAACCTTTACTACACTTAAGCTTAAAAACTGAGTGCACCACTTGAAGTTATTTTGAGAGAGAGAGAGAGCGAGAGAGAGAGAGAGAGAGAGAGAGAGAGAGAGATGTGTCAGGACGCGGTGAAATCAGGTGCTCGTCAATTTTTGGGCCTATGGAGCTATTGATCATCTAAAACCCTTTTTGTTTGCCTTGCATTTGATGAAGAAAATACCCATCGAACTTCAGTGGAAATCAAGATATATTTGCTATTGAAGGAGGTGGGTGTTGCCTGAACAAGAGGTAAAATGACTTCCAAAGTTCCGTAGCTTGGCTTGAGAGTCCTTGGAAACGGAAAATTCACATTTTTAAAAATAACTTTAATCAATATTTTTAGTGAATTCCATACAGTAACGTGTTTTAAATAAGACATGAAATGTATTGAGCTAAAAAAACATAAATTCGAAAAAAGTTGCCAAATGGGCGGAAAAGTGCTTGTTTCTTCGATTTCATTTTTTTTTTACAAGCGCCTGATTTCACCATGATGATACCTCACAATTGGTTTCTGTTTTAGTTGTTTTCCTTTGTGATGAGTAGATTATCTTTTTTAAACTCTATGAATTTGAAACTTTTTTTTCACAGATAATATCAAATGTACAAAGTCGAAAATGGAGGGTGGCAAGAAGCGGAGGTCCCGTCAACTGCTGAAGACAGTACAGATGAAAATATCTGTGCTAGAAAAACAAAAAGAGGACATTGTTGATATCATCAATGATTTCACCGATGAGGTTTGTTTGTGTGTGTAAATGAAGGATCCTTGGTCTACCCAAAATGATCTCCATTTTGTTAAGGTCAAGCGAAGAATCCCTTTAAGATCTGTTTTAAGTCTAGATGTTGATGGCCATAGTTATAAGAATGATTATCCAATTTTGAGTCGGGAAACATGAAATTCTATCACTTGACTCTCACCAAACTGAAATGACTCATGAATGGGGTCTGATTCTTTTCAAGTCAAAGTAGTGATCATTGCACAAGAAGCATTGCCTACCCTTTGTTACATGAAGTTGACCAGAGCCCATGGCATGAGCTAACTTGCCTACATGAGATGTATGCCAGGTAGAACCTGCCATGATTTCACATGTGAGTGTAATCTACTTCGTGCCCTCTGAATGCTATTCCACATGTGCTCAGTCAGGTTCATGGAAAGGACTGGCAATATGGACTGCCAGATGTGACTTTTCAGTAAATGGGTATTCCTTCTTGTTGAAACTGACTTATTTGTATTAGATCTTCATATTGAGAAAGGTCATAGGACGACTTTTGTTTCCCAAGAAAAGCCAGATTTAAAGAAAACAATGATGAGAGACTGTGGTTTATTTGGCTGTTTATTGGGCAATCTGGCGTGTTGGTCAATAACAGGAAGTTAGGCCTAGCCTTGTTTTTTGTTTTTGTAAAGTGTTTTACGCCGCTTGCAACTGCATAAGGTCATATGAGCGCCCGCGACACACCTAATATTTTCAGTTGGTAGGAAATTTTGAATTTTGCCCGGGTGGCGGCCGAAGCCTACTCTTATCGATTGTAGATCACCAAGGGATCTTTAACGTGCGCAACTTGCACACGGGCCCTCCGAGATTTTTCGCCCTGGTCCGAGAAGGCTAGGTGTAGATCTTTCCTACCAGAAGATCAGGGGTGTGGCTGAAAGACAGCAGTACGAAGAGGCGAAGGAGTAGCAGTAGAAAGGCTGCAGAAAGAATCAGGAGCCCAGAGGAAGGGGCAAAGGAGGTGAGGGGATGGGACAGAAAGAGGAAATGAAAGCAGACAACAGAACATTGCTAGAGAGCAGGAAATGAGGTGAAAGGAGACAAATTTAGAGAAGAACATTTTTCGGTCGCTACCCGGATTCGAACCCGGGAGCTTTTGAATGTGAGGCCAACACCTTAACCTCTAGGCCACGAGAGCCCCCAGGCCTAGCCTATTGTATTGTTTGGCGCAAGTGTATAAAGCAGAGAGAATGAGTGAGTAAGTGTGAGACGAGTTCAGTCTGTATTACAGCAGGGTAGAGGGAAGAGCTGTATCGAGGCAGAGGAGGCCTGCAGAGATTTTGGCGTGAGGAAATGGGGAATGGCTGTTTAGAGCCTCAGTCTATTTCTGTGCTTGTGTTGTGAGATTTCAACGCATTGAGCACCACCGCAGATGAAATTATCACGCGACCTAGAGAGAGAGAGACAGGTTTGGCTTTCCCTTGTAACTGTAAACGCATCTCCGCAGGCAACCAAAAGGTTAGTGTTGAATATTCTTTCATGGACCAGTAACAACAGAGACCTTGAGCATATCAAAAGCATGGCAATGTAAAATGAATCTGGATTGTAGAGTCCCTCTGTATTTTTAAGTATTTGAGTAATTTATTGACTTCATAGACCAAAAAGACAGGAGGAACAAGAAAAACAGAGCTAATTTTTCATATTCTTTGGAAAGGTCTTCATAAACGTATCATTACATTTTGAACCCATGATACAGTAATATGTAAGTGTCGTCGATTTTTTATTCAGTTGAGCTGATGCATTTTCTTTTTAAAATTTCAGGTGATTTCCAAAGCACGAAGTTTTACCCAAGATGGAGATGACGTCCTTCAAAGTCCAGATTCTTACCATGACCTTGTGAGAAGATTAGATGTGACCTCAGAAATATTGTCAAAAATTGCCATCAGTCTAGATGACATAATAGGTGAGTACTATGTTTCTCCTTTTATCTCCTGCACTGAGCCAGGCAATGTGCATGATGTGCTTCATGAATTGTCCTCTCCACTTTCAAGTGAAACAAAGTAAGGCTAAAAGTATTGTGATCGGAGTGCAGCAAACGAAAAGCACATTCTGTTATTCACATATCTATTTGTTATAGAGTGTTATTTTTTTAAAGGTCATGGAGCTTGACAATCCATCCTGTTTGATGGATATTCATTCTCAGGTCTCAGGTCCTGGTTCTCAATTTACCTTCTCTGAGTTGAAAGAGGTGTACAGACTCTTATCTCAATACTGAGGTGCAATGATTTTCGAAAGTTACTTTGCATGAATCTAGAACTGAAAAACTAGAAAGTATAGATGCTTGTAAAGGGAAATTAATTGTTCACTTTTATGTATTGGTGATATTGTCTTTTCACTCATGTTGAGGATTGAAGTGATTGTAATATTATTTTATTTTTTTAGAATATTTCGTCACTGATGTAATACCCCCCCCCCCCCCCCTTTCCCAATTTCTCTCTCTCTCTCTTAGGAAGCTAATTTAAAAAAAAGGGAAAACACCTCAAATCAAACTAAAAAACAAATTCTTTTTAGCATAGTACAAAAGTACAAATATTTCCGCAGATGAAGAGGTTGGTGACAAAGATAGAGATGTGGGACTTCTTGAAAGTATTCCTACAAGCAAAAGTGAGACACCAAAGCAGCCAGAGGCTGAAATGTGCATGACTAAAGGTAAACAATTTCAGTCTATCATTGTCAGAGCACAGTATTTTTCACAACGTCCTTATCCATTCTTGTATTTTTAGTTGAGTGATGCTTGTATTCTGTTGGTTTTTTTAACTGTTGTTTGTGTAGATACCATGTTTGAATTCTATTTTTTTGCATCTTTATTCTTCTTTGTATTTTTGTTTGATTGATGCCTCAGTCAAATTTTGTAAGGTCTGTACATTATATATCATACTTTACTCTGTTAATATATTTCTACAAATTTGTTTATCTGTTTCTGTTTTCTTGTAATGAGAGTCAAGCATATTACCAAAAAATTATTTGTATTTCTGTTTTTTTCTGCTTCAAATGGCAGCATTGTTTCTTCTGCTTCTTTTTTTTTCTGTTTCATCCATAGACCTGAGCAAGAAAGTGAATGTAAGCACTACAGTTCCCAAACAGCATGATGGCTCAATATTCATTGACCACGATTCAGCACTTCATACAGTTCCTACGTCAGATAGGACTTTGCCACTGGCGACAGATATTGTAGGAAAAGCGTCAAGCGATGTAGTTAACCCAAGGGCAGCTAATATCAATGCATCAGAAACAGAAGAAAACACAGATGGAAACCACTGTCCCCCTTTTTTATCATCAAACTTTCAAACATCGGTCGTGACTCGTCATGTTCTGGAGCCGGCCTTACCCAGTGTTCATTCACCTGCCCCTTTAGACTCTGACTGTGGACTAGATCTTCATGAAACATTACCGTGTAGTAGTCAAAGCGCCATGCTGAACTTAATGACTACACCTCATACTGCTGAAAATTATGATTGTCACATAGCGAACCAGACAGCTCAAAATCTCACTGGCTGTCCTGTTTCGTTTGGTAGCTCACTGTATCACCAGCGGCCAGTTGTGGTGCCTTCACCTCCATTTCCACCTAATTTTAATCCAGCTCAAATGTGGGGAGCACGTGGACACAGCATAGGCCCACACCCTCTTCCAGCCAGATCCAGTGCCAAAGATACTATGTGGATGAGCAGTGGTTCGAATCCCATAATGGCTATGCAGCATCTTTCAGCTGATATGTATCCAACTTTCATGCCTGCACATGCGTCTACTGCATCTGATTCAGCAATGATGCCAAGCCCCTTCATGGGTACACCTCTTCAGTATAACTCAATCCGGCGGCCTATCATTGCTGCATTTCCAGACAGAGGTGACCACTTTCGGGAAACAGACTTCACATCACACGAAGCCATCGGAATGGCTCAAAAAGCTGTAGAGGTCACAGGTCTTGAACCATTTCAGGAATCCTGTACCGTTCCCTTTCCAGGACAGGTAGACTCGCCATCAGTGAACTCTGCAGTATCAGTCAGTGTAACGACATCTTCTCGTGTATTTCCAAGTTTGGCTCCTGCTAGTTCATCGTTTCTTCCGGTAACAACCTCTTTTGGTTCATCTCTCATCAGCAGTGCATCAGAAAGCTCCCCACAGTCACCATCAACATCAGTAAATATTGAGGAGCAGCATCATTCTCAATTGCATACATCCTCTCAAGTACCTGATGAGCACTTGAGCAATGAGGTCATTGGAACTGATGGCATTTTTAGTCAAGGCCAAGCTCTTCCATCGTCATCACTTTCCAGTCTTCGTCCTCAAAGAAAAGGGGCTCCTTTGAGGCAGCAGAGATCTGAAAAGTTGTTTACGTCAACTTCTAGTCAGGGATCAGCTCCTCCTTATTTAATGACGATGTCTGTTAGTCCTGTGGCAACTGATGGAAAAAGTAAAAATCCAGAGGGTTCCCAGGAAAAGGTGGACATGTTGGGATGCTTGCCATCTTCACAGCAAACCAAAAAGCTACAGCCTCTGAAAACGGCGCGTCTCCCATTTGCTCACCACCCAAAAGGTGCCAGTCAAGCTTTTCAAGGCCCCATGGTGAAAGATCTGGACAAGCTTTTCTCAAAGGTCAAAGACAGCATTGGTAGGTGTTTACTTATATTGGCCTTTTGCTGTCAAAATTTATTTATCTTGTTGGTTATTGATTCAGATTATGTTTTGATTAAAAATTTTGTTTTTGAAACACAGAAGAAAGGACTACAGATACAAGCCATGTTGTTAATAAGTACATAATTGAAGAAAAGACTGGACAAATTATTACATACTGTAACCTCTAAGTTTGTTCTATGTACTTGCTTTTTTTCATATGGTATAATTTAATTCAAATTTAAATAGGATAACTTCATTTACTCAAGAAAAATTCTTCAGTCTGTCTTGTGCACCATTGACTCTGCTGTACAGTAGTGTATTGTGTCTTGAAAATACCTGAAATAATTCATATTCATTATCTTTTTTGCTTTCAGCACAGTCTGGCAAACAGTCAAAGACTGCAAACTCGATTTCTGGTGGTGTGAGTAGTAATGATAAGCCAACTACAAAAGCTTCTCCAGAGTCATCAGCCAAGCAAAAGTCTCCTAGAAAAGGTGAGAAAGTCACAATTAGTAAAAGTTTGTAGTTTTTGTCAGTTGGGATGAAATAAGTAAGTGTGTATAATATATATGGCTTAACTCTTGCAAATTGCAAGCTTATTCCCTGATTTGTTAGCATTTTCAGCATAAAATAGATACGTCTTAAGCTGCAAGCGTGTATCACCTACCAACATTTTAAGAAAAGACAGATTTGATATATAAGGATACAGTTGCAGTACATACAAGCACATATTTATGATAAATGAGGAAAACAAGAAACAATAATGCAGCATCTAGTCAGTAGAAATGCCGGCTTTTAGAAGTTAATGTGGGTAATGTAAAAATATGATGATTTGCCAATGCCTTTGCATAAAGTTTCTCAAGAGGCAAGGAAAGGATATTGTTTTAGCTTGAGTGGTATGATTACTTCTTGATTTTTTTTTTCTTTGGTGTCACCTCAACCAGTGCTCCTCAGCACTCTGCTTGAGTCTTATAAAGTAGTAGTAGTTAGAAATGGGAGAAGTAGAAATTAGTAGTAGTAGTAGTTGGAGTAGTAGTAGTAGTAGAAGAAAAAAGTAGAAGGCAGAAGGGGTTGTAGTAGAATCAGCACTAGTAGTTGTTATAAGAGTAGTAGTGGTCGTTTTCATCGTCATTGTTAATGCATCATCCTTGAAGTCCACTTTTTATGTCCTGAGATGACAATGCATGTGTGTATGTGGTTACTTAGGCCAGCGCGTGATGGAAATGTTGGTATTAGTGAGTGTATTCAACGAATTACACATATTTTAATGTTGTACTGCCTTTTCAAGGTCCTACAATTTCTCCGGCCAAGTGGGTGAAGGATGAGATCCTGGCTGCTACAGTCACTCGTGTGGAGGATCCATGGGCTTTTTATGTTAAGTCTCATGGTGAGGAGAAGGATATTAACAAGAAAATCAGGTGAGCAATGTTAGACAAAAAGATTGGTTTACCATGCTGTCAGTGATATTTGTGATCAAGTTGATAAGAGCAAGCTGTTCTGTTACATTCAGAAGTCTAATTTTAGTGCAATTCAAAGTGTTTTTTACTTCCTTGTCTAGTCAATGAAATTGCTTTTTAGGCTCTTTTGTTATGATAATGTTCATTATAAGTTTGGAAATTTTATCTTTTATTGTAATTACAGCAATTTTCAGCAACTGAACTCTCATTTTGATTGGTTACAGAACATGATTTTATGATTTGGAAAGGTGAAGGTTGTTACTTGTGGAGGCAAAATTGTACAGTTGAGCTTTTACTGCATTTGAAATATGTTCTGAAAATGTTGGTACAGAGAATAATGTTTTTTTTCTTTATAATCAGGAATTTAATACCTATGCATTTTTTTATAGTGCTTGTGTAATAACTAGTCAGTAATATATGCCTTTAGAAATACATGAAGTTTGATTTGTTTCCCTCTTGTCTTAGATTTTATTTATGGAGAACCCTTTATGTTTTTAATTTATTTAACATTTTGAAAGGAAACATTACTTGTTTCTTGAGTCCTTCAGCTGAATGATTAGATTCTTTGCCTTGCATGCAAAAGACATAAGTTTGATTCCCATGTGAGAAAGATATGGAATATTTCTAGTACTTGCTGGAATGTATGCAGGGTAGAAGTGGCCTGCCTCTTTATTTTTGTCTAAATTTTGTTATTGGGGATGTAAAACAAAATTATTTACTGTATTTACGTGTTCTGGTCTCTGTGGTATTGACTTAGGTGGAGCAAAAATTGGTTAGAATCTAAGGGTTACAATTTTTGTTATTGTGTAGATATGTTCTCTTCCTGCTGGTCTTGCAATGAGTGTCAATGCTCCCCTCATTAAATGTCTTACTCTTTGTCTGATTGAGTGCTTATTTCTAATAAAAAAGGACCTAGCTCACAAAAATGAAAGAAAGAAGAAGATGGCATTGTATTTCCATGATTGTGTTGTTGTTGTTCTTCTTTTCAACTTGACAAGGGGATGGTTGGTTTGTGGGTATCACTGGTGGGTTAAGGTTCCTTCTTCACCGTCTGTCTTTTGTTTTTGTCTGTCTGTCTGTCTTCCTTTTTTCTCAGCACGTAATGACATATTGTGTCTGTGTACTTCTCTTTTGCTGAAACATGTGAACCTCTGAACCAATACACATTTTTGTTGTTGTTAAATCTTATCACAGAGTTGCAGAGAATGAGGGTCTGGAGAAGAAAAATTCTCCTGAAGTCGGTGATTTTTGCTTGGCGAGATTCTCAGACGGCTTGCTGCACAGGGCACAAATTCTTGCCCTGAAAGGTCAGTATTTTTGTGTACTGCAGTTTATGAGAATGAGGTATAAGTTGCTGAGAATGATTGCCATAAAACTGACTTTGAGAGATAAAAGTTTGCTATTAATATTGTATTTGTTTTTATGACTATTTAATCTTCACATATGCTTGTGATATTGCTGTTTTATTTGTGGTACAGTTTTAATAGTTGATGGGTGTTGCCTGTTTTCTACTTTTTGGAGGGTTGATTTTGTCTGTCTATGTTGTTGGCATAACATGGTAGCTTTGATGTTTTATTTTAAGCTCCAACTCTAAGGTGGCATTTGCACTTTTTTCCCCCTTATTAGGACTTATTAATTATTACCTGAATTTCCTTTTTTTTTCCAACCCAAGATGGTGGCAGTCTGTTGAAGGTGATCTTTGTAGACTACGGCAACACATCCACAGTGGACGTCCAGCAGGTGTTCGAGCTGCCCCGGGTGCTGACAAAACCCGCATGTCTGGCGGCATGCTGTGCTCTTAATGGAGTAAGTGTTAGATGGTGTGGTTAAAACCTCATGCAGGGTTTCCAGTCAAAAGGAAAAGCTAGAAATTTCATATTTACATTTCACAGTCATGAAAACACCACGAAAATGAATTAAAACAAAGTTTAATGAGAGAAATCCTGGGAATTAAAGACCTGCCCATCATTACGAAATTGGCAGAATTATTACGATTTTTGGGGTCAATTTTAAGAAAATATTATTGTAACACCTTTGGTTCCAATTGCAGAAAATTTATTCACTGTTCGGCTACTAGTGGTGAGCAGATTTCGGATTTTGGTTTGGAATTTGATAGTACTTAGTGTTAGGGAGACCTTCCAAATCCTGGATCACCAAATCCAACATCTTCGGAAAGTATGAAACAGAACAAACATTTGAAAAATGTGCTGGCTTAATTTCTCCATAAAATAGCTTTAAAATGATGTTCATATTATGATAACAAGTTGTATGCAGTAAAATAGCGGGTTTTTCAAAATGATATTACATCTACTGAAAAATGATCGCACAGACTTGATTTACCTCCATCTACAACAATGGAATAAGCTGAAGTCGATTTAAGACGCAGGGAGTCCATTGTACAATTTAAAGGGGTGATCACTCTTGAATACTCAGGGGTTTGAGGAGGTTGACGACTAACTTGGCTGGGAACTAGTAGTTGGGTTTGGAATTTGCTCTATGGACCAAATACTTGCCAAGCAGAGTACTGTCGAACCTGCCCTGACGGCCACCTTTATAAGACGGCCACCTGTACAAACGGCCACTTTCCATTGAAAGCAAATTCCTGATCTGCAACTGGGGCAGTTGTGCTGCCAGTACTGCAGAAGGTGGTGAGGTGGGAGGAGAGGCTCATGATGTATTATGCGGCTGTGACTTTATTATCTTTGGTGATGATTGATGGGCTGGTGGGGAAAATGATCTTGGTGTTTTATGAAATGAACAAGAGGTGTTCGAAATTTTTTTAAAGAGTAGCCAATTAGCCTGTGCAAATCTGCCTATCATTTCCCCTGTGGGCTTACATCTACAAAAAAAAATTCAAAGATAATGAAATAAGTCAATATCTTTGTTCTTAATCTGTTCTCTTTCATGTTCATTTTCAATATGCTTCATGATGCTCTTTGTTAAAGTTGATGAAAAGAATTTTTTCTACTGCTCCTGATATAGAGATTTGTTTCTCAATGACATGCAAATCTCTTCAATGTTATACTGCTTAATTCTTTGTCTCCGAGGGAGGTAATCCCACTACACCAGGGCCCCTTTTTTTTGGTACTAAATTAAAAAAACGCCGGGGCCCCTTTTTTGGTACTAAGTCTAAAAAATGCAGGGGCCTTATTTTTGGTACTAAATCTAAAAATGAGAAAAACTTCATTAAATGGATCGTTAAATCAAAACAAGTGAACCTATTTTGATAGTTCTTCATTTGTTGAATGAACTCCCGGTAAAAGAGACCTGTTTTCGCCAGCGAAAATGAATTTGATGTCCAAGTGGTCGTAAACAAATGTGCCTGAGCTGCTACCAGCGGCTCACCGGCAGAGCGGTTTCGACCTCAATCCGCTGAGAGCAGCTTGCCGGAGATAGGGAGTTAATATGTAATTTAAAAAAAATAAGCATGCTGTCTCTAGATGCACCATTTTTTTTAGTAAGGATAGCTTGTCATTCTCAAAGATCTTTGGCAGAGGTCACTGGTCACGAAAATTTTGCTTCTAATGTTGCTTTCCATGTTTTGTGAAACTGTGCTTATTAGTCACTGGTCACCAAACCTGTGGGTCCCCAGAAAGGCCTTTGACCATTGAGCAGGGTGTCCAGGCTGAAAGCATTTTCCATGAAGCCAGCCTGCTAGCTGAGATTTAGATCGAAAGCTTTGGACCTTGCTGTAAGGGATATGAAAATATGTCAATTAAAGGTTCCACGTTTAAAGTTGATTTCTCACAGTATGCTGAAATTGTGTTGGAAGGGGTATGAACTCTAAAGCTCAAACTCTAAATGCTCCATATTTTATTCTGAAAACAAATTTATGCAAATCAGATTGAACTTTCTCTTCTTTTGTTTTCAGGTTCGCCCTGAAAACCCAGAAAATCTATGGACCCAGGAAGCCATATTAGCTTTCGAAGAGCTGTGCTCGAACACAGAGGTGGTTCTACGCGTGTTAAGGCCTGCTGATAATGAGAACTCCCAGGACAAACTTCCTTACATTGTAGACATTGTTGTGAAAATGCCAGTCACTAAAAAGTCCAGAAGCAAGACCCAGTGTAAGGCCAAGAACATCAGCTCAATACTTGTTGACAAAAACTATGCTGTAGCTCTGTCATTTGATGACCTTGTGGAGATATTGACCAAGGTCAATGCTGGAGGAAACGAATTATCCCCGTTACAGCAGCAAGATTTGGCTCAGCTGGCGTCTTCCACAGATATTTTTCTAGCCACGAAGCGACCCAAATCACCAGCCAGCAGTGTTCACTCAGGTTCTCATAGCAAGTTTCCAACTCCTGCTTGTTTTCTCCAATCTTCCAGCAAAAATCTGAAACAGGCTTCCAAAAAGTCACAATCGTCTTCATCGTCCTCATCATCTATGTCAAGTATTTCAACACCACATTCCAGACTGGAAGAAAGAGACATGCCTGAACAACCAGAGATACAACCAGAAAAGGCAGTTGGCAGGACCGAAAATTCAGCTCCTAAAAAAACTTCCCTCGATCACTTGGTTGATGAAAAACTGCGATGTTTGAAGAAGAGCCTTACCCGTACTTTGGAATCACCCGAAGGGGACAGTGATTCGGATTTGGACTCTGAATCTGAGCTGACTTTTGAGTCAAGTGGAACTCTTAAATCTATTTCTGTGGATAACGGTTTAGAAGTGGAATTTCAAGTGATGATGAGTAAAGTTATCTCACCTTCCAGTTTTTTCGTTCATTTGGTCACAGAAGAATCAGGACACCAATTTGACCAGCTAACCCAGGGATTAAATAAAATATTTGAGGCTTATTCAAGTAAAGCACTGCTGAATCTTTCCATGCAGTTTGTCCTGAAAAAGAACAAGTTGTGTTGTGCAATATTCTCAGGAGACATTGGCTACTATCGAGGCCTGGTTTTGGATGTACGGAAACGTCGTGCTGACTCTTCCTTGCTTTGGGCTCACAATGTGGAAACAGAAGAGGTAAGAGGCAGTTTGTCCAACACACTTCAAAGATTTACTTATTCTTTCTGCTTACCTTTGTTTGTACGTAAAGCATATATATATATAATTTGTCCAGGGCTGCCTAAATCTACCAATTTTTTTTTGTAGTTACCGAATTTGGACCATTACTACGTTCAAAAGCTTTTTTACACTAATTCATATTAATTGCTACAGTAAAAGTAAAAGGTTTCCTGCATTTTTATTCTTTTCTTACTGTTCCGGTGTAACCCTCAACTGAGAGGGATAATCCGTGTCTGAGGTTCTGCTTGGTAGCTACAGAGTCAGAGGGTTTCTATTGTCTTTTTCTCCCGTCTTTATGGCCTTTTTATGTTGACCGTTGAAAAGAGTGCAAGTTTCAACTAACTGATCCACATCATCTGTTGAGAGCAACCAGATCAAATGAAATTTTTTTGTTGAAATTGGTTATTATTGTCTACTTTTTTTCCGTAAAAACAGATCCTGGTCTTCTTCATTGATTATGGTGACTCAGAGTGGGTGGCTCGGTCTCGAGTGTATCGCTTGCCCACACAGTTCAAGCAGATTCCTCCTATGGTTCTGTGGTGTTCCCTTGTCTATGTCAGCCCACCTCAGACAAGCAGCAGAGGTAACCACGCAGTAGTCAATGGCGGTGATGCCCAGCAGGATGTCATTCCAGTGCCCAAATGGTGTGCTAAGACGGTGCGCATGTTCAAGGCCAAGGTGTCAGGGGACAAGACTCTGTGTGCTGTTGTCTCACAGGAGGAACTCTTACGAGTCAATGAGTGAGGTTTTTTTGCTTCATTTTGTACCACTTTGATTTTAGGGAGATTTTTTTCTTTTTCAGAAGATATCCCTTCAATTTTGTATAGAATTTTCTTTAATGGTTGGTATTGCTTTGTTAATGGTTTGAGTAAAGTTGTGGGTGGTTAGAGGCTGTCCTTGCCATGACCTCTTATCAGTTTGATAGTTGATTATGTCTTTGTTTTATTTCTCATTCCTTGCAGATGCCTGATGGTCACTGCTATTTATTTACTCCTATTTCTTTTCTATCCCACTGTCATGATATAAAGGAAATATCACTTCTTTTTTTTTTTTTTTGTTGTCCCATGTCCTGATTTTGGTGCCTGTATTTGTTGGTTACGTAAAAAGAATGTAATGGTGCAAATTGTTATATTTTCTAGAGAAACGAAACAAAGGAAAGAGGAATTGGTAAGTCGGTAATGATAATGATGATAATGCTGATGATGATGATCGTGGCGATGGTGACGGTAATGGTAATTGTGATGGTGAGCATGAGGATGATTATTTATGTTGGCGATGATGATGTTCTGATGTAGTAAATGGCATGTGTATTAGTTTTAGTGTTAAGTTTGTTTGGTGCTTACTCTAGATCCCCGCCAGGCTGTCCTGGGGGGCAGAACACAACCCTCATTCCCAACTCCTGGCATAGAGTGACCAAAAATTCGGAAATAGTTCTTCATCTTCATCCCTAGCATTTAATAAAAGTATGCCAAAAAATCACATGGGGGCCGCTTCTAAGTGATGACATTGTTAGTGTGTTTGTTACCCTACGTCTATGCTGTCATATTTTCAAAACAGTGAAAGGAATGTGGCCAATAATCTTTGTAAAAATTAATTTTCATAGTCAATGCAGACTAACTTTTGTGCTTACAAGTTATCGCTACCGTCGTTCGCAACACTTCTGTTTTGAGTTACATAAAAGATGTATTTTGGATTAATTATTTTTACCGTCTTTTTATTTTTCCGAATTCTTTGACGTAGCAAAACTATGTATAGGGATAAGGACAACAAAACTGGTGAAAAAACCCCCCAAAAACTAATGAATCAAGCCATGCTGGATCAGTTTAAACAAAGTCTATTTTTGACACTGACTTCTGCCAGTTGTAACATAGTGGTCTTTGTGTTAAATATTATTATTGGATTGTTAATCCTTATTTTCATTACTATGAATGTATTTATCATTGTGTTAACTGTCATTCATTGTGTTGATTAGTATTTATATTGATTATCTTTTTGTTAATTATTGTTGTACAATGTATTTATTATATGAGTTTTTTGTTTCTTTTTATTGTTATTTTTTTGTTTTGCTCATTGTCGATCTGTTGACTATCACTGTTTTAATTATCATTTTGTTGATTATCATTATTTTCATTGTTACCACTGCTTTGTCAGTTCTCATCATTTTGAATTTTAAATTATTGTCTTTTTGCTATTCTTGATTATTTGGTCATCATCAGTATGTTGATTTTCATAGTGATAATTATTATTATGCAGTTTTTCTGTGTTTGCCATCATGTTGTATGTGTGGTTTACTGTCATGTTAATAATTATTATGTTCGTTGTCATCGTGTTAATTTTCACGGCATCTGATTTTCAACGTGTTGGTTATTATTGTTTTGATATGTGTGCTCTTCTTTCTCGGGTTTGAAGTCAATAGGTAAACAAAACATCCTTGCATCTTTCCTCTTTTTCAGTTTCATGACTTCAGTTGATTACTTTCTGACTCTTCTCTTTCTTCAGCTCTCAGAGTTTCCAGCTTCAGCCATTGCCAGTCTACCTTCTAAACAAAAACGGCAAGGAGGAAATTTGCTTAAATCATGAGCTCATACAGTTGGGCCTTGCAGAGGTGAAAACTGATGGTAAGTAATGACTGATTTGTATTCAATAACATTATTGGTTTCGTCATAAGGCCTAAGCTGTTGGCTAGATTTTTCTTATAACACTTCTTTAGATTGCTTTCTGTGAGTCGGGCAGTTTTTTTTGGGGGGGGTGAGGGGAACTTCTCCTACGTCTCATTTCAAGAAACTAAATTATGCTTGTACCCGAGAGTGAAATAACTGTCAGTTTTGTCCCTTCTTTTGAAGGACCGTTGACGTGTTCTCTGCTGTATCTGTTAACAGCTGTCAGGTTTTGATAGTGGAAGAAGTATGGTGTAGAGGTAACCGTTGGGTCAGGTTTCTGTAAAGGTCAATTTTCTTCACATTGTAGGGTACAAGTAATCTGTTGCTTTGAGTGTACTTTTTTTAGTTGTAATTATAACTGATGTGTTCATGACTGTAAAGAATGGCAGTAGAGGGTCAACACCTTGCCAACACTATTACAACTAATTATTTACTTTTGTATATTTGTTTTTGTTTGAATGAAAAGAAAGATGGAAAAAAAGCAGAGACAATAGGCGTATTAAGCAAACATTTGATAGGTACATGTGAATGTTATTCTTTAAACTTCTAATTTCACCATAAGAGGGGTTGTACCTCCCGCTACTGAGCACCTGATTTATTTATCACTCTCCAACCCAGGTAGGGAGGTGGGGTAGGGGGTGAGTGGGTGCTGTTGTGGAACTACTGATAAAAAAAATGAGATGCAAAGAACTTCCTTGTTTTCTCTCTTACTTGATTGCAGCTAAAGAGCCAGTGGAAAACACTGAGCTGCAGGATTGGGACCCCATGGCTGACGACTTTAGCTCCATCCGTAACAGCTACAAAGTGGACATCACTGACCCTGGGGTGGCCCTAGTTGGAGTTGGTAAGTTGTTCCTATATATAGGACTTTTTAGAGTAGCTAGAGGGTGTCTTTTTTGTGGTAGTTTTTAGGTTTGCTTTTTTTTTTTGGGGGGGGGGGGGGGGGGGGATGTTCAGAGAATTGATGATTGAAACCCTTCTGGAAGAGATTTTGAAAGGAATATTATTGTCATTTTTTCTCCCATCTTTCTTTATCTATTTCAAGAGGTTGCTGGTTGTCAGTCATGAAACGGATCAGTCGAGCTAACACTTCTCTGGATATTTCTGGAGTTTCGGAAACTCTAGTGGGGAGATCCTACTATGTTTTCCTGGCCTTAAGATTTTACCTAGCAGTCTATGTCCCTTTTAAAATTTCTGCAAAGGGACAAACGTCTCAGATTTGAGTCTCATTTAATTCAAAGGAAAAGACGAGGGAAGAGCTCCCATGAGATGTGACTTGTACAACTAGTCATTTGTACCACATTTTCCTTTTATTGTAACAGCCCATGGTGCACTCAAAGACTTTTATCCTGCAGAACCTTGTTTTATGTTGAGATATGGCCTCAAATCTGCACATTTTCTCAGCTCTTTTAATAAGGTATGAGCACCAAGATTTAGGGGAAGGTGTGTCATGAATTAAGCAACTGTCAGCATGCCAGTAACACAAAATAACCACTTAAGCTCTTGGTACTACATTATATCAGATTTTTGTTTTCATTTTGGACACTCTGTATGCTAGAGTGTACCCAGAGAGGGGTCCAGAATGTCCATCTCTAGTTACCCTTTTCAGTAATTTAGTTTCCAGTGAAGTTGCTTCTCAGCCTTCTGGCTTGGATGAAAGTGTAGCATCTCTTCCCAACTTTTCAGCTTTGTTCTTGAGTACAAAGCAGGACAGATACTACGGAAGTTGATGAGGCTTTAATTAGCCTCAATTATCTCTAGTGGATTGTATCCGTCCTCCAAAACAAAACAGGTTCCAGTAAAGTTGTGTGACTATTCAGGTTCGACTCACTGCAGTGGGTAGCCTGAGATGGTCAGGAGATGTAAACTGTCAGCTGTCTCTCCACCTGTGGGTGAGAACAACATGCAGACAAGATAATAATAATGTTAACAATTGCAAAATTACATATGTAAAAGCCTATTGAAATACGATAAACCGGGGTGACTAAGGCACCCCAGAGTGACTAAAGTATATCTGGGAAAATGTTATGATGATTTTGAGATTATTTTTTTCAATATCAAAAGTGATTTTGAATATCTTTTCAATGCCTTACCCAAAAGAGTAATCAATTTGGGTTGTATGTACATTTTCCCAGCTATATGCCTTAGTAACCGCGGGGTGCCTTAGTCACCCCAGTTTACGGGTAGTGTAAAGTTGTTTGAGAGCATCATCATAGTAGAAACCATTTACTGAACACGTGCCCCTGCTTGTACGTTCACACTATGCGCTTTACTATTTATAGTTGTTGTATCACTGAACCCATAGCTGGTGAAAATAGACAACCCCCCCCCCCCAAAAAAAAAGAGAAAAAAGAGAAAATATGGGGCCTACGTCAGAATAACCTAGTGTGTGTATAACATATTTATGTACTGGGGCCAAAGAAAAAAAAATCAAAAGCTAAAACAAGCGGCTTTGTGTCTAGTTTGGAGGGAAAAAAATTGGTGTGTAATCCCAGAGTTTCACATAGATACCGTTGTTCTTATTGTAGTGTACGTCTATTCTGCATCTGCTCACCTTTCTGGTGTTTCTATTTTGCCTTTTTGTGCAAGGAAATCGATTCTGCTAAAAATAACTTGTCAAGACCTCCACTTTAAAAAATGTGATAATGAATAATTTAAAACGAAGGGAAAAAATCGTTTACACTAGTAAACTAGTTCGGTTGTCGGCCCATCATGATCAGCCTTTGTGGACTGTAAATAAAGGCCCTAGAATTTTGAAGATGAACTGGTGTAGTTCTCGGATCAATTGACATTGGTTCTCTAATTTCCTTGAAAAAACAGACCAAAACTGGAAGTTTACACCACGGGATGCTTACTTTTTGTCATGGCTGCATTGATTTTCTTGTCAGGTGGTTGTGGGTGCTGTTTGACAAACAGTGGACTCTTTTTTGTTGTTTGTTGAAAGCAGTGCTTTAAATTTGTTTTATCAGTGTCCTTTTCGGAGTAGTACCTTGGTTCTCTCTCTCCGTCTCTCTCTTTCTCTTGCTCTCTCTTTTTCTTCTCTCTCCCCCCCTCTCTCTTTCTCTCTCTCCTTCTCTCTCTCTCTTTCTCTCTCTCCCTCTCTCTTTCCCTCCCTCTCTTTCTTTCTTATATATCTGTCTGTCTGTCTGTCTGTCTGTCTGTCTGTCTGTCTGTCTGTCTGTCTGTCTGTCTGTCTGTCTGTTTACCCCCCCCCCCCCCACTCCCTTCATCAGTCCCCTCCATATCCGACTCTACCTTGCTCTATGTGAGTTAACGGATGTCAATTTAGTGTGTGTGTCGAAGGGCGAGAATGCTTTGTGTACTCTTGTAATGTGTTTCTGGTGAGGAAAGACAGGAGATTGAGTAGTAGTAAGTTGAGTGAGGTCGTTTCCTCACTGGCGAATTGGTAATTTGAGTTGTGGCTTTACTAATTGTTTTTTGTTGTTGTTATTTTGTCGTTATCAATGATGGAGACGATAATGGTGGTGATGACGGGGACGGAGTGTTGGTTTTGTTGCTGTTTTTAGTCACTCTTTATGGGTTGTTTGTTGGCTTGGTTGGCACTTAGTTTGCCTTCTCTGAGCCTTGTGCCGTCTCTCGATTATTGCTATAATTAGCTGAATTTTGTACCGTTTTAGGCGCATTCAGAAACCGGGCCTTTAAAAAGTTTTCTTCTTTGTTTTGAGTTTGTTTGTTGTTTTTGATGTTTGTCTACTGTTTGCGGGTGGTTGGAGGGTGCCACTGATAGGCCCTACTTCTTTATTTTCCCTCTGTTGTTTCTGTCTGTTTGTCTGTCTTACTTTTCCCCCCCAGATTTATATGACCATTATTGTGTCGATGTGCTTTTCATTACTCAAACAAATAAAACAAGTTTGCTGTTTTTTTATGGGGAAAGGGGGTTGGGGGAGGCAAAATAGACTTCATTGATCTATTAGATACTAACTGATTATTTCAAAAGCAAATGAACGTGCAAGTGATTTGCGGGCGCCACTAGAAGGCCCGCATTATTTTGTTTCTTGTGATGTTTTCGTCCGTCTATCTTGACACCCCCCCCCCCGCACTAGATAACGACCGTTATTATGTCAGTGTGCCTCTCTTTACTCAGCCGAATAATGAGAGAATGTGTTCTTGCAATCCAATATGGCGGCCCATAACTGTAGTGATTAGCTTTATTTTTTTTTTTTTTTCTTATTTTTGTTTTAACTTCCCTCCTCTCCCTTTTCCCTCCTTGTCTGTAATCGGGTGTCGGTTTGTGTTTCAATAGCCCATCAGACACCCCCGAGCGGCCCATTAGTGCGCCGATTAGGCCGGGGTATGGCTGCTCTCGACATGTGACCCCTCTTAACCTAACGCTGATCGTTGGGTCGGGGGATCAGTTTGGAACCCTTTCATGTACCGTCGAAATTGTCTAAGACGGCGACCTGTTGTTGAGGAGAAAAGTGGCCGTTTTAGACAGGGAGTCGTTTTACTCAGTCATTAATATTTTTAAAAAATGTATAAACGAGGAAATGGGAAGTGCCCGTTTTACAGGTGATTGTCTTTTTCAGAAGGCCGTTTGAGCAGGTCTGACCGACTTTCAAGTTAAAATCAATGGTGATTTTGTGTGCTGTGTGTATAGGTGGCTGGAGGGTGTCATTGGTGGGCCGTGGGTGGTTGGCAGATGCCCTGGTGTTGTATGCTTTATTATTTATTCTCGTCCAAATGATTGTCGTCGTTATCTCTACCCCTTCTTTTCTTTGTATGTTGCTCTTCAGTAACATCTCTAAATTTTCGGCAGTTATATGACGTACTTGTATGGCTAGTGCTGTAAAGTTATTACTCAAACTATATCTGAATTGGTGGGGCGTACTACTTTCCTTTCCCTCTCTGTTGTTTCTGCCTGTCTTACTCCCCCACCCCCCTCCCCCAGCACTAAATGACCTTTATAGTGTCGATGTGCTTTTCTTTACTGAAACGAATACATTTTTTCTGTGGTTAGCTCGAAGGTGTCACTGGTAGATTCTACTTTTTGACAAATCCACTATCGTTTCTTATCTGTCTTGTCATTGTCTTACCGTGGGTGGTTGGCTGGTGCCCTGATGTGGTTTGCTCCTTTTGTCCTTTCAAACATCTATCGCCCTTATATCTTCTCAAACTTTTGTGTGTAAATTACTATTTACTAACACTTTTAATCTTCGGCACTCATATGACCTAATTGTGTTGCAAGTGCCGTAAAACTCTTACTATAACTAAAAGCTGTTAAGAACTTGTCTTGCCCTTCCCAGCTCTAAATGGCCGTTATCGTGCGTGTCGATGTGCATTTACTTACTGAAACAAACTCAAACAGGTAATAACACCTTTGTCTCATTTGATTCCAGACTGTTGATTGATAGAAAGGTTGGTTGAGTCACTGTAACTGTAAGCTCAATTGGCGACACCTTAGGTTCCAGTATCGGGGGACTATCTTAAATGTTTTAAAACTCTCTTGCTTTCAGGGCGTTCTCCCCCCCCCCCCTCCCCCCCCCTCTCTCCTCCCCCCCCCCCCCTCTCTCTCTCTCTCTCTCTCTCTCTCTCTCTCTCTCTCTCTCTCTCTCTCTCTCTCTCTCTCTCTTTCTCTTTAAGAAATTGTATTAGCTCATTGCGTGTGGTTGACGAAGGGCATTTTTGTATGGGTTGCTTCTTCTTCATTTCTACTTCTTGTCGTTACTGCATCCTGATGTCTTCTTTGTCGAAATGTGGTTACATTGTGGGATTTGATGGGTTTATCGAGCCCTTTCAATACATTAAGGATACTGGATGCTGAAGAGGTTGCACCACCAAATTTAATCCCCATCTCCGATATGTCTGTTTGAATAAAGAGCTGTC